CGAGAAACAGATTAACGAGGAATTGGTCGCGCGAGTGAGAACCCTGATCGGTCCTATAGCATCGTTTAGAATAGCAGCAGCTGTGAAAGCATTACCTCGGACACGTTCAGGAAAGATAATCCGCAAATCTATCGCTAACTTGGCTCGATCCATGCTAATTAAGGTAAGGAATTGTTTGTTGTGTAAGAATATTGACAAATTGACAAATTAAACACACACGCTGAAAGATGAACTTTCCATTTTCGTACGGGGAGTAAGAGTACAAACTATTTGTTGCCATTTTTCAAGAGAACTATAGGTTGCGACCTATAATTCCTGGAAAAAGTTTCACCTCCGTGACGGGTAGAATACAATACAAACAAAAAAAATTATGACCTTGAAATTCAAATTCAAAGTTCAACTTCGTGACACGTTCCTTATACGTTTCGAATCAAATCGAAGATGTTGAATTCATCTATGATAGTACAAAATTTTTTTTCCACTCTACACATTATTTATTCATTCTGCCAACGTAAAATATTCGTTCTTTCACTTTCAGATTTCGAGCGCGGTAGAGGATGCATCGGTATACGTTGAAATTAAAGAAGTACTTCAGAAACTTGGTTACGCTAAATTAGCGCCAAATCCTCAATGATAAGTGCAATCTCTTATCCTGTCTATTATATATATTTTAATAATCATATATAAAATGTAATAAATGTATGTAGTCGACACGTGTAGAAAAGTGTCTTGAGAGAATTGAGAGAAATTGTTTTTGCTTTTGATCGAGTTGAAATTTTATCTGAAATAATTGCCATCGATAAACTGGAGATTTCAACAACTCGTGCAGTCTCCCTTTGCTAACGTTTCAATTGAACACTGTAATTACAAAATATCATGCTGGAACAGACTTTTTATATTTTTCTACTATCATGGAAGAGAAAAAGAAAATAAAATTAATTCTATCAAATCTGTCATCTCTGCTTAAATGTATCATGCTGTCGTTTCTATCTTGCATTACTGAAATTATGGTGAATGAGACGAAAAAAGGGAAAAAAATGTATCAGTATCTTTTTAGTGTTTTGACTGCAATATTAATAATTTAAAAAAATACATATAGCAATCGTAAAACAAACGTTGCCGAACAATTTATAGCAATAAAATTAATTGTTTCTGATTAATTTTGTCTGTTTTGTTAGTAAACAGATTCAAGGTAAAATGTAAAGCAAAAGATAATAATAGACGTAAAAAATAAAATAAATAGGCAAAGAAAAAAAGAAGGAATAACACATGTAGAGAAAGCACTCATAAAACGTCTGTTTTGAAAATTCTCTATATTAACATTCTTTCGGTTAAATCTCGACATTAATTTTCTTTTATCGCATATAACGCTATAAATCATCGAAACACTTTTCTGAAGAAGCACAGTGTAAGAATATCTGGTGTTATAGACACGTATTACATCGATACAATACACGAATCTTGGCGCCGTCAAACACCAATCATATTAACAGAAACAGTACGTGCAAGAAAAAGCAAATCAACCGTACACGTGAAACCTCTTATTAAAATTATTAGAGCATATTTTTGTTGCAAATTCGTTTTTAATGACAATGTAATAAGAAACCGTATAATAATATTAATAATATTAATTTTATAATTATGAATTGTTGTGTAACACTATCTGGTTGATTTAATAAACTTCTGTATTTTTTTTTTTTTTATTTATTCCTTCACTTCTTACCACCAATTTAATAATAATTATTCAATAATAATTATAATATTAATATTTTTTCTTAATTTTTATCTTGTAATTGGTATCTTCTTCTCTTACATTTCTTAACGTCTCACACCTCAGAAGAATAAAAATATCGTGTTTTACAATATTAAGGAGACACTGTTCATCGTTTGATCATTAATCCATTTGTAATGAACTCAATGTCGTGAGTGCTTACCTAGATAGAAGGAACACGCGCTCCTGAGTTTTTTCTTTTTAGCGAATTTGTCTCCTTATCTATATAGTCAAATCTATTTGCTTTTTTTCTTTAAATTTCATGTTATAAATACCCTCCCTCCCCCCC